CAGTTGCTTTCTATTCTGTGTTTGTGTAGGTGATTGTTTCTGATAAAGAGCAGTATCTTTTCATTTTCCTGATAGGATTTCATTCTGTAGGTTTCAGGTAACTTTCCCAATAACATGAAATAATTTTCCATTCTGATTCAGTCAGTCCTCCAACTTGCTTCCAGACCTTCCCAACTTCATATTGGCTGTTGCAGAATTAAGTTGATGCAGAACTCTATGAACTTCCATTCTTAGAAAGGACTACTGTGAACTACTTTCAAGGCATGTTATCACACCATGTTTGTGTTACTGGGATCAGGTTCCTCTAGATTCATCCCTAAATAATTTTGAGACTCCTATCTTAAATAGCGTTAAAAAAATTCTCATTATTATGCTCTGTTGAATAGTGAAAGGAAATCTAGTGTTTCTGATATGTGGCAAAATTTTCAGAATTATTTAACTGACTTAGGATATGTTTACACAGGTGAAAGTAGACAGCTGAGGATTCCTTTTTCAAGTTAGCCAGATATGAACTAGGGTTCATGTTATTTGTGTTCCTGTGGCGCTCAGCCTGAGCTAACAAGCCTTACTGAGAAAGCACAAGAGTTCAGGTGACATTCGACATTTGAACATAGATTTTGGCTCTTAACTAAACATACTGTAATTATTTACACAGCATAATGACTGTATGAACTATTTTGCAAAAAAAAAAAAAAAGACAGGATCTCATCTGAGAGAAGTTTGCAATCCAGCTAACAGAAAGTGAGGGCGCAGATGTTGGTTGTAAGAGAACCAGTGCTGTAAGGCTTTTTAAGTGCGTTCCGAGGAGGGATGGAAAGCAGTGGCTAATAAAGACTTGGAACTTGGGAATGTTTTGAAAGTGTAGGATAGCATAGAGTATCCTAAGTGAACTAGGCAGTGGAAATACAGGAATATAAAGAATGAAGTTGTCGTAGAGAAGAAAAGGCAAGGGCAGAAGGAATCAGAAGCAGCATTCTATAGACGTATGAAAATGATTTTAAGGATACTGATGGGATAAGTAGGGAAGGCCTGAAGAGAATTTTAGTCAGTAGCTCTCCGTTTTGCCCTTAAAAATCTTTGTTTCAATCTTGGCAGTTTCTGAATAGCCTTGCCTATTATCTTCCGCTTAAGCCCAATCAGTACCTTTTTTTAGAAGTGAACAATGAAAGCCAAACTGCCGTGTCAAGTACCCTTCATTGGTTACTTCCATTCTGACTGAAGGAACAGTAGGATGGCCCCAGCCCCCTCACAGTGCAGTCAGTGCTGTCGGTATCACAGGTCTCACAATGGCACTCTGTAGCTACTGGATATGAATAAAAAGATTCTGGATGGTCGCCACAGCCAGGGATCTTCACTGTTTCATACACAATCTCCTTGAAGGTACATGTTTGCTGAACGGATGATACTGGTGGATATTTGTATACTGGATCCTGAAAATTACAAGAAGAAAATACCTATTTTGAAATTCGTTATGGGGTAGAACTTAAAATTTTTAGACAATAAAGGAAATGACGTGAAAGTTAATTAAACTGGTGGGAAAATCCCACTGAGATCAAAAGGATTTGGTTCAGACTTTTCTAATTTCACCTAGATCCTTTCAGGAGGATGGATATGGCAAATTTGTGTCATACCATCACCAGACAGTCTTGCAGGTCAATTGCTTGATTCTTCAGTTTGGAAAAGTAGAGGAGTCTACATAGTAATAGCTGCTTAATTGTATCTGTTTGCAAGCACAGATTAAACATCAGGCAGACATCCAGATTGTAATATGTTCAGCTCTAGTTATACAATATAAACATAATGTGTGCAGCCAGTTAAAGATCAGAATTTTACTAGCATCTTTTCACCCTTCCCTTCGTGGTTCAGATTTGCTTTGCATCTACTTTCTGTCAAATAGCACAGCAGTTATCCGGACTGTTCTTTCACAAGGCTTATTCTGCCGATGTGTTTGTTGTGGGCTGGAGAAATGGGTTATTCATACATCAGTTGGAATATTTAATGCTGGTGCCTGAAATTAAACTTAAGATTCTCACCCTTGTGAAGCAGTATCCCGAGCACCACGTGGCATTCACTGTAATACAGAATTCACATTCTTCTCTTTCCACTGCTATAGTGATATTGGTGAGCTGACAGCTATTGCAACAAATCGCTTTCCAGCAAAGTAAGAGCACGTAACAATTAACTGTCTTCATCCTGTGTATAAAGCAAAAAATAAATCTCTACTGGAGAAAAATATATAGTTATTTTCAACAGGAAATATTTATAGAAACAGGGAGAAATTGAGTCTTTGCATTGTCATCAAGTGGTTCTATAACAGCAAGCTTTCAGAAATATCAGTGAGAACATAGGATAAAGCCATTAAATAGATCTATCCGTATGTTTATTGTTAAGGGAGTCTGGTTTTCCTAAACTCCTGAAGTGGCATGTCAGCAATCTTTGCAGAATAATAATAGCAGAGTACCATACCACTTCCAATGAAATGGTTTTATCAGAGTTTCTGTACAGAGAATGTCTCCTGTCCTTAAGGAGAAAGAAAGTGAGAGAAAGAGCAAAGGATAATCTGTTTTCCAGAAACAATTAATTACATACAGTGTTTGCAATGTGAAAAAAGATTTCTAGATCAGGATCTGATGAAAACTTACCTGTATTCTACTTGCCTGCCTTGTAACAGCAGTAGTGAGAAGAAAGTCCTATGCTTACCTTTTATACTAAATTGTGTGTAACTTATACCTTGAGGATTTGCAGTGTATTAATGCAGCGAGCATTAGTTTGGTACTTGGTGAAAGTGGATTAATGTTCAGCCAGACAGATCAAGCCTTGTTAAGAGGAAAAAAAGAAAAGCAAAACATACTCAGGAAGTGGTGGTGAAGGTTATTGTCGCAATGTCTTTTTAGAAGTTTCACTGGATTTTATTCAGGGGCATTTAGAAACAGATGAGCTATTCCAAAATTTGAAAGAAAGTCGAGAAGCCTATTTTTTGAAAAGTTGAGGTGTTTTAACTGTTTTATGTCGGCCCTTAAACTGATAGGTTTGGGGTGCAAGCTGGTCCTCTGGTAATTCATAGCGGAGGCATGGCTAGAGTGCTTCATTACTAATGAACGTGTTCCTGAGTTTTTCAGGGGATCAATCTTAATTGCTTTTTTCTGGATTAGGTCTTAACCCAGTGAACTGCACATGTACTTGTTTATTGATCTGTGGTCCAAGAAAGGTAGTGATGTGAGTTTTGTTAAACCATGAGTAACTCCACTTTTTTACCATTTAAAATACCACTGTGTTTTTTAAAAATTCAGATTTCTATCCCAGTATATGCAGTCCTGGCGCCTGTCTGTTGCATGGTCACATTTTTTTTAACTTATATAAGGGATGTCTGTATTGTGGAAAGGGGCTAAAGATAATGAGGCTCCAGATTTGTGTTTTCTGTCAGTGACCTCAGATCAAGTCTTGTACTGTTACAGGGAAAATGGTAATGTTTTTAGCAGGCAACCATGCAAACTCAACTTCAATGCATTCCCTAGTTTGTCATGATAATAAAAGAGTCTGTGAATAGTGTTCCCCCACTTACTGCCCTTTTCCTGCATTCACAGGTTAGTGATGTGTGTCTCTTCACAGAATAATAACAGAGAAATAATTCTGATGGGCTTCACATATCACTTCTGGGGAAGATGACTCACAGTAGCACTGTATTTACTATCCTCTGCCCAGAACAGTGAGTCTTGCTTTGTTATGACTGTTCTATTATGGTCAGTCTGACTTTTACAGAAATCCATCCACAAAGAAAAACTAGGCAAGGACATACAGTTAAAAGCGTTTTATCATGAAAAGAAATTCTCACTGGCTTATTAGTTGTCCTGCAGATGGGCTACTTTTCAAAGTGGCTTTTACAAATGAGCTCTTTAAGTGTCTCATACCTTCCTGTGGTCCTGCAGACTGGCCATCTGTTCCAGTTTCCAACCTGTCTGCAATATCTTAATTTGTTAATGAATTTCCTATCATGCCAAAGTTAGAAAGTGATCGGCAGATTTTCCCTGGACATCTCCTGTAATAATAACTTTGAGAACACAGCTCAATTAAATGTGTAAAGAAGTCAAGAAAGCAAATGTCTTCCTTTTTACCGATATAAACTCTGATCATTTGATAATGATCTTTTCTGTCATTTAGTGTCGACATAGTCTGTCTTCTCAGAAGATTCTCACTTGCTATAAATCACTAATTCCAGAGATGTCAGACAAAAGGTGAGTACAATTTGTTCTATCCTACTGAGGATATGGCCTTTTCTAAGTACTGATCTATGCAAATTAAGTAAAACTAAATAAACTTTGTTTGCAAAGGACAATACGGGAAATACCTGATCTCTCAGTTGCGACGATCTGTTTCATGGTTTGAGGAAATCATACACATTCACTGAAACTGTAGTTTCACAAGCAGGGAGTGCAAATTCAGCCCCTGCCATGCTGTTTCTTCCCTCCCCTAGTTTCTTGCTCTGGCCCACTCAGCCTCCTCACTTGTGGCAACAGAAGTTAGGGAAATAATTCTGATTAAAAGGAATAAACTGAACCCAGCTGTGTTCTACAGCATTGCTGTTAATCTATATAAATTTGTTCCACAACGAAATGAACAGCTGTAGCAGTGTAAGTGACGGGATTGATTGGGGAGTGGGAATGAGGGGGGAGGCTGACAGGCAATGCATTAAGTAGCGTTCTCACTGAAGAGTCCACGAAGCCACATTGTAAACACAATATCAACTTTTTAACAGGACAGTTTCATCCTGCACTGACTTCAAGGGCATTTGTTTCTGTAATCATCAGTTCTAGGTTGGTTCTCCAGCGATCAGCTCTGCTAAATTCATTGTGTGAATATATGAATATGCATTTTTAAGGTAATAGGAAATTACAAATTGAAATCAACTAACCAGCAGTCTATCATCTCAGGAGTGGTAATTCGGTGAATTGTTACTTCGTTGACTTTGGTTTTGTTCCCACACCTTTTGTTAGAAAAATACACTAAAGGAATTACTTCTCATGATGGGCAAGATGCTGTGTAAGTACACATTTTTCTAAGATTATTAGTTCATGCCTTTGGGAAATGTTTATATGCTAACTATATTATAGTCCTTCAAATTTATATTCCCATTAGATTAAAAAAAGGTTATGGTAGTTGTGCAGGAAGCTATCGTTTTCACATATATGCAAACATTATACGTCGGTTCTGCTTTACTGCATTTTGTATCTATTTGAGAAATAGAAATGCTTTCCGTTTGAAGTGGTTTACATTGCAGTTTAGGGAATAATGTCAGAGGGAAGAGCACTCCTTCTTTACATGCTACAGCAACATTTAAGTTAATTGGTGGTTTTATTTATCTAGTTCTTAACCAGTATTGCACATTCTAGATTTAGCAGTTGTCATTATGCTTCTGGGCTGAATGCTAAGTGTTGCCCGGATTATCAAAGAGGAATTAGTGACACCATACTCCTGTGGTGGTTTATGTATACAGCCTAGGAAATTAAAAGATATTGTGGCATGTCTATACCGAAAGATTGAGACAGACCTGCAGGTGCTCTGCTCATACTTGAGCTAGCCATGCGATTTGCAGATCTGGAATGTCTTTGCAAATGGCCTGTTTGGATTGCGGCAAAGCGATCTCGTGCTCCTTCCCCACCTTTCTAGGGTTAGCTGACTAGCGGGTCCGTTGTGCAGAATCCAAGCTCTAGCAAGGCCCATGAGAAGGCTCAAGTTGCTGCAGAATCCTGTAATTGCGTTATGATTGGGAAGGGAAGAGTTGGGTTGGAATGGGTAGCGCTTCATGGTCAACAGAGGTTGCTGTATTCCTATTGAAGTGAGTGGGGAAATCTGGCGAATGCTGTAACGGAAGATCTGGCCTTCAACATGGGCAGGGAGCTAGTTCATCAAATTATAGGTGGTCCTGTAGGTGAAAACTCTCCAACCTTTGCAAATCATACTGGGCATCAGATTCACATGGCTATGTTAATGCCTCAGTGGCATCTCAGGGGAATAAAAGGCTTCTCTGTGTTGCTGGTTTTTTGTGTTCTGTGGCTATTTCCCTTGGAGAAACACAGCAAGCCATCGTTACTGCTGCTGCTACAAGAAAGCACTTGCTTTGCTGTTTCTAATCACTTCAACCAGAAGTGCTGTGACACATTGTGCTGTTGTTTCCCTTCTAAGCAGCAAATGCTCTCTTGTTTGTTTGCTTGGGTTGTGGGGTTTGTTTTTGGTTTGGTTTGGTTTGGTTTTGTTTTTGCAAAAGCATCTAGTACAGAACTGAAAGCTTTGTGTTTCTTATATGTTCTGAACTAATGAAATTTCTTTCTTCATGAGAGGTAGTGGTAAGACTAGTAATTCTGTTACTGCGAGTTGTAAATCTGCCTTGCTTAAAAGGAGGTAGATTAGCTCTTTCAGAGAACTTCGGTATCTATCAAAGTGCTATTGGAAACTTGGTTATATGTGTGCAACTCATCCACCATGAGTAATAAATCTGACTCTGTCCTGACAGAAGATGTATTGAACCTTCTAGTGGAAAAAAGAGAATGTCTGATATAAAAGACAGGCCTTATCTGTAAATTATTCTAGCTGCAGACTAGCTTTACCTTCTAATGTATTCTTTTAACAGTGTAAAGGGATGTGGTTTTAGGTTTGTTAGATTCATGGTTGTGGTTACATGTTTTAGGTCTTGTTAAATAGATATGTTACTGGGTATAATAGTTTCTGCATCTGAAAGCTGTTTCTTATTGAAAGTATGTCTCAAGGCATGTTTAAAGTGCTTAGATCTATGGCTTAATTAAATTTCAATGGGTTAGAACAGAATGAAGGGTTGTTTCTCTTAAGTTGGGAGTTGTGCACCTCAGTGCCATCATACTGGGTATAATATGTGTTTGTGTCAAGTTTCTTCTGCACACAACGTGTCTTGACTGACTACCCTTCCTCTCCCCTTCTTTGTGTTTGTCCGAATGTTTTTCTGCACAGGTGCAATTTAATCTGAAGTACTTAAAGGAAAACACCTTATTGTTGCTACCCAGTGATTGACTAAATTGATATCCTTGAAGTACACAGATTGCAAATTGCTTCTGAATCTGTGTTTCAGGACTCCCAGTATGAGGTTGGTATTTCAGAACACAGCAGCCCAGGCCTGTGTTAAGTAAATTGACTGAATTTTGTCTTTTCCTTTTGTCATTGTTGT